GATTATGGAAATTTAAACAGTAATAGCTTTAGGTCAAAAAGAAAAGATTTTGCATCCTAAGATATTTTTCCTATTTACACAAAGTAAACTTTTACTTCTGAGTTCTAATATTTAAAAGTATAGGTAATTAAATGAGCTTAAGTAAAAGCTCCAATATGGATAAGAAAAACTATACAAATATATTTTTAAATATGAAATTAAAACCTAAACAACAAGATTTAAAAAACTTATTTAGATGTAGAAGTTTTGGTGTGCCTATTACAGTCAAAAACATAAAAAAACAAAAGGTAAAAAAAAAAAAATAAAGTTAAAAGTAGAGGGTCACCAAAAAAAGAGGGAGAACTTCAATGATTAACATAGTGGTTGCAACAATAGCCTCAAGCATAGCAATGACTGTGAGGATGGCACAGACCTGGGCAGTGTTTCCTTCTGTTGTGTATGAGGTCACTATATAACTGACTATGGCACCTAATAACCACATAGCTGAACAAAAGGGGCATTTGAAGTAACAAAAAAAGTACCATAGATACGTAATTAACAATGATTTTATTCAGTGTATTTTAAAAACCATAAACCATGTTCATAATCATTAAGTCCAGTTTTATAATGACAATGCTTCTCTCCTCCCCCAAAAAGCTATGGGAAAAAAACATTTAAGATTTCAAGCTTCTGTCATAAAATTACCACATTAACTTTTTAAATTTAGTTCTGATGTTAGAACTGCTCAAGAAAATACCTTAAGTGTACTTTGTATCTGCATACTCATAGCAAGTATGTGAAAAAAACCTCCAAAGGTATACAAAGACCATCTCTGTAGGTGTTATATTTGTCATGTTTCTTACTTCTTACCTACTTCTAAGTCTCTGTGTCATCAGGGTTAGATGTCTGTTAAATCCTCCAAGCCAATACATCTATGTGTAGATTCTAATGGCAGAGGTAACTATACACTTAACAGAAAAAAGGGGAAAAAAAAAAAAATATATATATATACATACACACATATACACACACACACACACACACACTTACACACACACACACACATATATATATTCTGGTAGCACAGTGCCTAAGGCAGCTGACTGCTAACCAGAAGGCTAGAGGTTCAAACACACTGACCACTCCTCGAAAGGAAGGTTGGGCAATCTACTTCCATAGTGATACTGCCTCGGAAACCCAAGGAGTCGCCGCTATGACTCGGTTCTGACTTGAAGGCACATAACAACAACAACTATATAGAGAGAGAGAGTAAGTCCCAAACCCCCTGTATTTGGAAACTTCATGGTTTTAGGAACAAATATATTGTTAAGTATAGGATGGGTCAATGAAAAAGGAAGACCTTCAACGAAATGGATTGACACAGTGACTACAACAACAGGTTCAAGTACAGGAGTGATTGTGAAAATGGCACAGGACTGGACAGTGTTTCATTCTGTTGTCACTATAAGTCAGAACCAACTAAACAGTACCTAACAACAACACAGGACAGACAATGTCATTTGTCTTTTAACATATCTCAAAATCATTCCTTTGACCAATAATAAAAATCACACATTAAAACAATAATTTTCCTCTTTTCCAATTAAATAGTTATCCCCACAAAAACAAAAATTATCAATCTATACGGAGACATACAGAAAGGTCTGAAAGTTATTTTTTTCTGAAACTCTACCTGTTAATGCTAGGTACATAATTATAAAATGAAGTACAAGCAGACTGACAGGCCTAAGTATAGTCAAGTCATCTATTTCTCTGGATCACAGGTCTAAGTTTTGAATAAATGATGAACTTCAAGTAGATGATCACAAGGAAGCATCGCTCAAAACTCCAATAATGTTATAAAATGCTTTAAAATATGTCACAGAAAAAGTGTCAGAATTCAAAATGTGCAGGCAATAATTAATACTGTATGTTTTTGTTGTTATTGTTATATGCCATCAAGTCAGCCCTGACTCATAGCAATCCCTCCTTGGGTTTCTGAGGCAGTATCACTACGGAAGAAGACTGTCCAGCCTTCTGGTTAATACTGTATACTCCTTCTGAGGAGTGGCTGGTGGGTTTGAACCACCAGCCTTCTGGTTAATACTGTATACAATGTTTTATATTATTAAAATGCTAAAAGGAAAAAAATGAACTATAACCCTGACTCCGGTATCATCAAATATAGAGTCTCTGTGCCAAAGGCAGTTGACTGCTAACCAGAAGGCTGGGGGCTCAAACCCACCAGCCACTCCTGGGGAGGAAGATTGGGCAATCTACTTCCATAGAGATACTGCCTCGGAAACCCAAGGAAGGGTTGCTATGAGTCTAAACCGATTCCGTGGCAGTAAGTTTGGTTTTTGCTTTGTTTTTTGTTTAATAGATCAAATGATCAAATATTGACAGCCATCATTTTTTTCTTACTGTAGTTATACTGCCTAAGGTATATGACTGCTAACCAGAAGGCTGGTGGTTCAAACCCACCAGGCACTCCTCAGAAGAAAGATTGGGTAATCTACTTCCATAGAGATACTTTCTCGGAAACCCAAGGAGAGGTTGCTATGACTCAAATCGACTTGATGGCAGTGAGTTTGGTTTTTGGCTTGGTTTAGTCTAGGCTGTTTATGTTGTTGTTGTTGTTATGTGCCATCGAGTCAGTCCTGACTCATAGCGACCCCTCCTTGGGTTTCCGAGGCAGTATCACTACAGAAGTAGGACAGCCCAACCTTCCTTCTGAGGAGTGGCTGGTGGGTTTGAACTGCCAGCCTTCTGGTTAGCAGTCAAGTGCCTTAGCCACTATGCTACCAGAGCTCCCAGGCTGTTTATAGCTGTTTCTTAATATTAGAACAAAGAGAAACAATGAGTTTTTTTGTTGTTGTTTTTGTTTTTTTTAAATATTCAAGATTCAAAACAATGCCTTAGGCAAGCCAATTATATACAGAGTCTATCATTTCAAAAATACTATTATACTTTTGAAAAAATAGATTTTGAGAAGAATTTTGCCTCCAAAACATGTAATATATCTGCTTTTCATCCAATATAATATAAAACCAGCATTTCCATATTCGTGAAAAATATTATTATTGTTGTTAGGTGCCATCCAATTGTATCTGACTCATAGTTACCCTATATACAATAAAACAAAACACTGCCCAGTCTTGCCATACAGAATATAAGGTTATAATTTTGCTCTTAAAATAATGACTAAATACTTAAATAATCATTAAGTATTAAATAATTACTAAACACTTCATTTAACTGTGTGATTTCTAAACTAAGCAACACTGTAATAATGATTGTGTGAACCTTTGTGCAGGACACAGTAAATCACAGTACAGTGACACTAATTTATTTAAACAACAGACTCAAACTTATATTCTATAAAGTGTTTGATCAAGAATCAAATTGAAACGTATAAGGCACAAATAGCCAAATAAAAATTATGACTAAATGTTACTGGAAATACATGACTGCAATGAGTTTGAAGTATAGACAAACATGTTAAAAACTTCATGTTCTCAAAAATGAATAATCATAACATTTCAACCATTGAGTATAGATAAAGGTTTTTTCATAAATTTGCTTAGTCTCTTCGAGCATATGATTTACAAAAACACATTATATATTAAATTAAACTTAAAATTTAAAGGATATCAAAATACCTAAAACATAGTGGGGCTAAATATCATTTGGTTTAAAAAATATAATTCTATTTAAATTGAAATATGGCAGGTGTTTTTAACAAAATTACTTCCCAGATACACAGACAGGAAAAGATGTTAAATATCACACTTTTCTAAAGTGAGACAAATAATTTAAACTGATAACCACCTGCAACTGGAGACTGTACACATAAAATGTTCTAGGACTCTCAAAAAGAATGACACTTTTCTAGCCTACCTAGTTAATGCTTTTGTTAGTGGCAACTTCTTTTACTTAACTTGAGACAATCCTGCTATTTAACATCTGGGCCTTATAAAATGTTATTAATAATGTTAAATATTATGGAGAGCTATGTCACTGACTTCACTGGTGCCAGAAGAGTTTATGACCACTTTATTCTACTGTAAGGAGCTCTGGTGGCACAGTGGTTAAGGCATTTGACTGCTAACTAAAAGGTCAGTGGTTTGAACCTATCGGTGGCTTTGTGGGAGAAAGACGAGACAGTTAGCTTCCCTGAAGATTCACAGACTCCTATGGGGCAGTTCTACTGTCCTATAGAGTCACTAGGAGTCAGAATCAACTCGAAGGTAGTGATTTTATTCCAATGTACTGAAAAAAGGTAATTTATTAATCATAAGATGCCAGGAATTTACAGGTTTCCCTCAAATTAGCTAATTTCTAAACTCACTTATTTTCCCTCTCTCATTCTACAAACGAAATAAAACTTTACAAAGAAGGTTTATTTTAATTTAAAACAAGTATAATGCCTCCAGATTATGAACACCACTCACACAGGGCACCTTAGACTTGTATACAGAGCTTGGGGACCATACTAACAGTGCTCAAAAAGAGAGCTATTTTTAGCCAATAAAGAGTACTCTGTAAAACATCGGTTCTTGGTATATTGTGCTGGTTAGATTTACGTGAATATATGTATGTGTGAATATGCATAAATACATAAATAGAGAGGAAAGGATCAATCCTCTGGCCATTACAGAGACAGTAAGCATCCCTGGCTAGTACAAATGGTTAATGTGTTCCATTGCTCACTAAAAGGCTAGAGGCTTAAGTCTCCCCAGAGACACCTCAGAAGAAAGGCAAGGCAATCTACTTCTGAAAACCATGCATTGAAAACCACATGGATCATGGTTGTCCACTGACACCATGGACTTAACTCAAGGGCAACTGTGCTTCTGTCTTATTAATGTCTTTGAGCGTAGCTATGCCTAAATCAAACTGTCTCAAAAAGTACTGTATAAAGCACAGTATATATGAGTTTGAAAACTAGTATAGTTTTAAAAAAATCTATTCAGAAAAAGAGAGCTGAAAACAAAATTCTAGTTAAACATAGCACTCACGTTGATGCCCAGCCCATCAAAGGATTTTCCCATCGTTCTCTGGTATCAAACTCCATCTTCCATTTCTTTGTGTTGTTTACTCCAGATTGCATGTTATTGCGAGCAGGAACAAATATCCTAACTTTTCTAGTTTTGATATGCTCTTCTGGAACTCCAGTTAAAGTAGTGATATCCTGCAGAAAAACAAGCAAACAAATGTTTCCAACAACCCACATACTCATTAATATACTTGTGTTACACTTCCTATATGCACATAACTCTATTTAGATTTGTCCATAAATTATTTTAGAGGGTATTGGTTTTTCTTCAGTGTTTTGGCTTATTTTGTTTTCTTTATTCTAAGTATGCACCAGCCAGTCATTCCCAAGGAATATCATTTTGAAAAGAATTGTGCCTTCCAGATGTTCTGAGACATTTCTTTAAATATATTTAGCCCACTATCCTGATATTTTTATGATATAAATTGCTATTCTGATATATGGAAATGCTATTTTGGGATGAGAGTGCATGGAACAATGGTAAAGTTCTCACTTAAAAAAAAATCAGGTCTTATTTTTCTAACAAAGCTTTGGTAATTTCTGAATAGTATGCTGAGTCAGAATTAACTTTACAGCAATGGGTTTCTACTGAGTCAGAATTTACTTTACAGCAATGGGTTTTGGTTTATGTTCATAGAGGACACCTGCAGTGAATTGCTTGATGTGGCCCTTCTAGCCATTGTCCTCCATTCTGTGGTGTTTCGTAAATCCCATTATCCATGCCTGTTTGGGGTGGTGTGGTAGTTAAGGTCAGGTATCAACTTGGCTGGGCAGCTGGTAGTAGTCATTCCCTACAATGACTGGCAATCGACTCTGTGATGGGATTT